TCAGAGCCACTATCCAGGATGAAACAACAAAGATCCATGAATACATCAGGCAGATGGCCCCGAGTGATGATGTGTTTAGTGAATACCTCAGGCAGCAGAAACCAGAAGAACAAGGGAAGGAAAAGCAAGAACCCTCATGGAAGGACAAACCCCTGCACAGTATGTACCACCGTCAAATAGAAGAAGTGGCTGATATCAAAAAAATCCTACCAGTGGCTGGACAAAGCTGGACTGAAAGACAGCACGGAACCACTAATCCTGGCAGCACAGGAATGACCAAGCTAAGATCCTGTTGGACTTCCAGATACAAACTGACAAACTGGTAATGGCCAACCAACTGGACATAGTAGTAGTGGCCAAAGAGAAGAAGAAGGCCATAGTGATAGATGTAGCAATCTCAAGCGATAGCAACATTAGGAAGAAGGGCTACCACGGGCTGAAAGAGGAGCTAGAAAAGATGTGGAAGGTGAAGGCACAAGTGGTCTCCATGGTAATAGGAACATTGGGGGCTGTGACCCCCAGACTGGGAGAGTGGCTCCAACAGGTCCCAGGAACAACATCTGAGATCTCTGTCCAAAAGAGTGCCGTCCTAGGTACAGCTAAGATACTGCGCAAGACCCTCAAGCTCCCAGGCCTCTGGTAGAGGACCAGAGTTTTAAGGAAGGAATAAGACCACCCCAAAGTTGGGGGCGAGTGGGGAATTTTATATATACAGTGGGGCAAATAAGTATTTAATACACCGCTAATTTTTCAATTTCAATTTTTGGCCCACTCCTCCATACAGGTCTTCTCCAGATCTTTTAGGTTTTGGGGCTGTTGCTGGGGAACACAAGAGTTTCAGTTCCCTCCGTAGATTTTCTATTGGGTTCAGGTCTGGAGACTGGCTAGGCCACTCCAGGACCTTGAAATGCTTCTTACGGAGCCACTCCTTAGTTGCCCTGGCTGTGTGTTTGGGGTCATTGTCATGCTGGAAGACCCAGCCACAACCCATCTTCAGTGCTCTTACTGAGGGAAGGAGGTTGATGCCCAAAATCCTGCAATACATGGCCCCATCCATCCTCTCCTCAGTACAGTGCAGTCACCCTGTTCCCCTGCAGAAAAGCACCCCCAAAGCATGATGTTTCCACCCCAATGCTTCATGGTTGGGATGGTGTTCTTGGGATTGTACTCATCCTTCTAGGCTTTCTCAGGATCATTGATACTCCACGAGGCGAGATCTTGCATGGAGCCCTAGTCTGAGGGAGATTGACAGTCATCTTGAATTTCTTCCATTTTCTAATAATTACGCCAACAGTTGTTACCTTCTCACCAAGCTGTTTGCCTATTGTCCTGTAGCCCATCCCAGCCTTGTGCAGGTCTACAATTTTGTCCTTAGATAGCTCTTTGGTCTTGCCCATAGTGGAGAAGTTGGAGTCTGATAGATTGAGTGTGTGGACAGATGTCTTTTATACAGGTAACAAGTTTAAACAGGTGCAATTAATACAGGCAATGAGTGGAGGATAGGAGGGCTTCTTAAAGACAAACTAACAGGTCTGTGAGAGCCAGAATTCTTGTTGGTTGGTATGTGATCAAATACTTATTTCATGCAATAAAATGGAAATAAATTATTTAAAAATCTAACAGTGTGATTTTTCTGCAAT